GAGAGAGAGAGAGAGAGAGAGAGAGAGAAGAGAAGAAGAAGGAAAAAGCTTCTGAGGAAGATGATGTTTATTAATTCTCACGTATTGTCTCAATCGAATTTATTATCTTGTGGTAAATCATTATAATCCTTCAAAGGTTCATCGTGCAATAGATGAAACAATATTTCAAAAATAAAGAAAGAAGGAATAAGTACGATCGTCGAAGTGGTTTCGCGTGAAATCCTTTGGCGAGCGAGCGAGAAACTCTGTGAATGGAAAACGTAAAGAGTAAGACCAATACGTGAGAGTGAACGAGAGAAGAGATATACAATGAGAGTGAGAGAGAAAGAGAGAGAGAAAAAGAGAGAGAGAGAGAGAGATGGAAGACGAAGGAGTCCACTAAAAGCGTTAAACTCGACATCTTCGGATGCGGTAAGTAGAGGAGAAGAAAGCCGAAAATATCTAAATCACCGAGGCTATCTCGTTGCGTCGACGAAGCAGTATATTTCAGCAGATTCTCTTTTCTCTCTCCTCTCTCTCTCTCTCTCTCTTTCTCTCACACACACACTGTGTCTCATAATCGAGAGTGCAAATTTTCTTTATAAAACAGAGAAACATACTCGCACGAATTTGAACAGCGCGAAATCGTCGGTTTGCAAGCGACGCCGGAGATCCGTATTATTAGCGTCTATTAATATGAAGTCGGTGCGAAGCCGATATTAGATTGCGCGTGTAAGCTTAAGAGTGGTAGTTGTCGTCTTCTATGTCCTCCTCCTCCTCCTCCTCCTCCTCCTCCTCCTCCTCCTCCTCCTCCTTCTCTCTTTTGTCGTCTTTTCTTTGTCGGTAGATACCAACTACTTGTACATTGTACGACACGATTACGACCACGACTATGATTACGATGACGGAATGATGACGATGACGATGACGATGACAGCAGGTCAAATAATTTTTCCCTTTTTCTAACTCGTGTTCCTTGCATCAAAGGATGACGTGTAAATTACGAATAGATGGTATCATACGAGTTATCTAACGTTAATTGATTCTATCCTTCTCCCTTTCTCTCTCTCTCTCTCTCTCTCTCTCTCTTTCTCTCTCTTTACGTGCTTAATGTAAGACTACTTATTTTAATTTTAATTTGCTCGACTTTTGTTGTCCTGCATTATGTACCTATCGTATATATAAATATTTTGTTCCTCTTGATTTCAACTCAATTAAAATAGAATTAAAATCAAGTAAATACATACAAAAATATATACATATATATATATATATATATATATACATACATACATATGTATATATCCATTCGTCTTCCTTTTCTAGAAGCAAACCGATATCGACTCTATATATCGCAAATATTTATAGAAACTTTGTACTTATCATCCGTGCTTATCGTCCGACTAAAAAACGTTCACGCTTTATTTACGAGTATTTTCGATTTTCTTTCTGACTCAACGTGACAAAGAAGAGAGAAAAGTCATTCATCATTTTCTCTCTCCCCTCCTCTCTCTCTCTTTATCTCTCTTTTCTCTATCTATCTCTTTCGCACGTCTTCTCTCTCTCTCTCTCTTTCTCTCTCGCATTCTCTCTCTCTTCAGCGAGGTTACAAAACGTTTTACATTGTTTTCGAAATGGTTAAACTTCTCTTGGGAAGGGTGGACAAAACGTTGGAAAGGAGGAGGAAAAGGATGAGAAGCAGGAAGAGGGAGAGGGGGTTACAGAAGGGAAGAAACAGTAGGGGGGTTACAGAAGGGATGGAACGAGAGAGAAAGAGGGGAAGTGAAAGTGACGGTGAGAGGAAAAATGAAAAGTACCAAAGAGAGAGAGAGAAATGGAAAGATCGAACTATTATTATCTCGCTTTGTATTCAAATAGGTTACACATAAGCATAACGTAAATATGTATATGTTTGATATATATATATATATATATATATATATATATATATGTATAAAGGAGGAACATATGGAGGAATGTATAGTAGTATGGAAAATGTCGTGAAATTAATGAAAACTAAATACTTGTTGCGCTTTAGTAGTTCAACGCGACGTTACATACGGTAGTGATCGCTCGCGTGACGTATTAAGGTAGCTTGCGTACACGCTCATGTAAAAATGCTTTTCCTTTCGATTTTATGCAAATCCGTATCGCACGCTAGCCAGCTGGAAATATTTCTTATCGTTACGTAGCTATATAGGTGAACCACCAACGAAGTGTTCCGCTTAACTCATATTATATATATATATATATATATATATAGAGAGAGAGAGAGAGAGAGAGAGAGAGAGAAAAGAGAGAGTACCTATTTATTTTAGAGTTTAGTGTCTCTACAAGTTTTCCAGTGAGAAGTGCTATTTCCTTTCAAGATTAAAGGCTTTTATGTGACAGGTGGAGCGTTCGGTAAAACATATGAGAATGATATTACAGTGAAACGAGATTTTATCTGTGAATTTAGACGAACATTCAAATAATCTCTATCTATATAACATTGAAAAATATTTATTATAATTGTATCGATAAAGATTTATACGTATGTATGTATATCTTTATTGAAGATAAGTGTATATCTTCGAACGATACGTTTCATTTTAATTCACCGTACGAAGCTTATTTGCTGAGTGCAAAATGAAAAGGAAAAGGGTAAAGTTTCGGACCACGTAGAGGCCGAGATAGGCGGTCGGTCGGTCGGTCGGTCGGTCGGTCTAGCTGTCGCGCGTGCGCTCGCGCTCGCTCACGTTTTACCATCATTATTTTCGACATTTGGAACAGTTAAATCCAATAGGTTATGTCGCGAGCTCCTTCGAAAGGTTCAAGAAAAACCGTAGAGCTCGGTTATTTTCCGGAACGAAACGGTTTAGCGACGCCTCTCGAATATCGAAAGGCGCGAACTCACGGATGAATGGAGTCTGGCTCGAGCGTGTACTTACACCGGCTATACTATACTTGCAACTTTGCTTGAGGGGGGGAGGGCTCGCTTCGTTTATTGATCTTTTTTCTTCCTTCCTTCCTTCTCTTACTTCCTTTCTTTCGTTCCTTTTTATGTCTTCCTCCTCTCTCTCTCTCTCTCTCTCTCTCTCTCTCTCTCTCTCTCTCTCTCTCTCGCATATATATATATATATCGCTTTTACGTTAATTCACTTAGCGTCGCGTTACCGATACATTTTACCGCTCTCTAGCATCGACAACGGAATCGTAGGTACTTGGGATACATACTAACATAGGTACATATTTCCACTTGCTCTTAGCCATGAGATAGTTTCTCGTGAAGCAAGAATTTAATCTATGTTAGACGTCGAACGAAAAATACGCAAGTAATATCTACTTAAATATATACGTAGGGTTATAAGTACTTGCGTACCTACCTACTTACCTACCTACCTACCTACCTATCTACCTATCTACCTACCTACCTACCTAACTATCTACCTTCCTACCTACCTACCTACCTACCTACCTACGTACGTACGTATGTACGTACGTATGTACGTTCGAGAAGTCGAATTCAAAGGATACGACGTCTTCTTGATTATTATCGATGGAAGCCGATCGCTAAGGAACTTTCGTAAGAGAGAGAGACAGCGAGAACGAGAGACAGTGAGAACGAGAAAAAGAGAGAGAGAGACAGAGAGAGAAAGAGAGAGAGAGAGAGAGAAATTATTGGAAAGGTATTTCACGTTCGTTGCCTTGTAGCGACGACGAAGTGGACGCGGTCCGACGGAAAGTGAGTCGTGTTCTCGATCGAGTTCTCGCATTACCGTTTTAAACGAAAGCATTTTACTCGAGGCTACTTCGTTCTTTTCTTTCTTTCTTATTTTTTTTTGTCCTTTTTTTTCTCTTTTTTTTTCTTTATCTTTATTTGCTTTTCCATTATCTTTTTTTACTTTTCCCTTCGTTCCTTCCTTTCTTTCTTTCTTTTTTTTTTTTCAATTATTGTTATCATCATCATCATTATTATTATTATTATTATTATTATTATTATTATTATTATTATTATTATTATTATTATTATTATTATTATTATTAT